GGTGGGCTGCCGCTGCACTGCGACCGCCCGCGGGGGAAGGCCTGTGCTGAGGGGCTCCGTGTGCGGGCTCTCGGTGCCCTTTGTCAACGCGGCTTCTCGACTTTAGCGTGCTAAAATCTTCCCGTGCTGCGGTAACTGCTTCTCCGCTCACGGCCTTTACATGAAATACATTTCTGACAGCCCTGAGCCCCACCTAGCACGCCAGGCATTTGCCAGGGCTACTCTTGCTTTTAAAGAGGGTGACCTCAAGTAGCCCGCACTGGTGGTCTGGGACATTGGTGGTCTGGGTTACAGGTTCTTTGAAAGTACGTTTTACAGGATGTCAGAAACCTGAAAGGAGTTTTTAGCGTCCAAAAGTAAGACTGGTAGAGATCAGTGTCTCAGACTTAGCAGGTGTTTTCTAGCAGGTACTAGAGATAGACATGTCAACAAAAAACAACAGTCTGGTGGTCTCTTGCCTTTGTTGCAGTGTCTGTATAAGCTGTAGGGATCAGAGAAGCGTGCCTTGCTAGTTACAGCTGCCAAAGTGATTAACGCAGAGAAGGTTTTCTTAGAGCATATATAGCCAAAAATAAGATGAAAATTTAAGTGACTGTGTTTTGAAAGTTTGGTGGTTTGGTTTTTTTTTTCCCCCTGTTTTCTCCTGTTTTTTATTTTAATGCTGTCTACTGTATACAGGCGTTTTCTAGAGAACTTTGTTATCGATAGCTTGATTTTATGCCCATAGGCTGCTGTGTCTCGAATAGCAGATTTTCACGTGATGCCTCTTATTTCTCCTCTCACTTCAGTGACTGGTTGTAGGGTTTTGTGCTAGTCAGGGAACAGTTAATTAGCTTTAATTGCTGGCAGTGGCTTAGCTTTCCCAGAAGGGAGGTGGAGGACAGGCCATAACTACCGGGCTGTTGGCGGTAATTAAGACTAGTTAACTCTACTGTGGCTGGAATCAAGATGCTGTAATCTTCCCCCGTGAATTCACCTGCAAACCACTTAGGAGCAAATTTACAATTTCAAAAACTGCATTAGTAACGATCATAAGAGGAATATTTCTTCTAATTTTATTCTTCCATTGCTTTATCATGGTAAATAATTTAGCAATACTTGCAAGTTGAAGGAAATATTTCCAGAGTGATGCTAACTGGAATACCTTAGCTGAAAGTTAAATTTATGCTAAGAAAAACCTATGTCCAGGTAAAATTCTAGGTTTGACTGGACTATTGTCAAATACTGACCTTGTTGAATAGAAATCCAACATTGGCTTCAGGTGAAACAGCTCCTTGTAGAGAAATGTGAGGTGGTTAAGATTTGTTCTTTTGGTGTTTTTTTGTTTTTTAACAAATTAGGAGTATGAACTTGAGATGCTGCCCAGCATTTAACAACAATTGCAATGGAAAGACCATGGGAGAATGATGGTAATATGAAGACAGACCTGTTTAAAGGAAAAAACCACAAAAGTATAAGATCCAGTGTTTGCTTTGGGTGTTGACAGACGTGTGTGTATATATATATAATGGCATTATGAGTTTCTACAAAACAAAAGTCATCAAAGCCATGCTGCCACAAATAATCCCTTGAACAGCTAGCAAATGGTGATCTTTTTAAAATTACAGTTATATAGATAATGGAACTTAATGGTTTTCTGGTGGACTTAATGCTCCGAACTGTGATACTTTTTTTTTCCTCTGTGCGGAAGGGCTATTTAAGCTATTCTGAATCTAATTCTTAGTATTTTTAAAGATGTCTAAAACAGTCTGATTTCTCAGCTATTATTGATTTTCTTTTCTGGAAGTGGAAATGTTTCTTGCATTTGGTGTAACTCCATCTTTGTGCTTTTTATCTAAGGATGTACGAAGCTACTTTGTGCTTTTATTACATCTAAATGACCATTGCACTTGTTTTCTCTGCCTGTTTAAAAAGTGGGTGAGCACAGGGGAAAAGTGAATTCTGTTTGTTTTTCATTAAAATTCTACGAAATAAATGAAGATCTAATTATGCTTGATATACATCCTCCCCAGATCTCAAAGCTTTTGAAAGAAGACTTACCGAATATATTGCATGTTTGCAACCAGCTACAGGACGTTGGAGAAGTAAGTTTGATGTTCCAAGGAATAAACAGGCTTCTGTCTTTAAAGCATTTTAGACTGACCAGTATGTATCTTTGATTTATGTTTGCCCAAACAAAAATCTGTGCTTAAGCTCTTTAAAAATTTCTGTGACGTACATTCTAACACTCTGCAACAAGATAATCGTAGAAGACAATGACCATCTCGAGATAACAAACTAATACTTTAGCCCAAGTTAGAAAAATAAGGTCAAGATTGAACTGTCTCAAGACTGAATTGTTCTGGAAGTAGCTAGGACAGTAAGCAGTTGTAGTTTTGATGGTTTGTTGTTTCGGGGGGTTTTGTTGCTGTTGTTTTGAAGATTCAGATTTCCCAGACAGTCACTATAGTAACCTGAACTAGCTATGATTGAGTGAAATAGTCCTTCTGTTCCTGTCTCTTCTAAAATGAAGGTGAAAAAGTTACAGCAGTATGCTATAAGGGCAGAATGTGTCATCGTCTCTGTTCTAAGAGCAGAGTTTGAAGGCAGGGGCAAGGCAAGAAATACCACAGATATACTGGCAACTTTGGGATGAGTAGTCCCTGGTGGAAACAGATTGCTTTTTTGTTGTGAGATTCTACTGAACTTTCGGTACTCAGAGAAGACAGACTTTTTTTAGAACATATAAAATAACATCTTTTTTCCTGAGAGTCCAAGAGGTTAATTTCAAATGAAAGAGCTGGAGGAATGACTACTTAAAAAGCAAAAACAACAAAAAATCCCCCCCACCCCAAAACACAACAAACCAAACCCCAACACCTGCCTCAACCCCGTTGTTTCAGAGCAGCTGGGAGACAAGCAGGTGTTTCTAAATAGGTCTGCCCAACTTGTGTGCACTTACTGTGGGAATGCATTTGGCTTCCAGAATTGCTGTTTGCTGTCAGATATAATTAAAAAACAAAGGGAAAAAAATTATTGTGAGCTTCTACGCATCTTTAAGTGAGGTTTGCATAACTAGTATTGTTTTCACTAGCTATTTTTTTTTCCTACTGCTTGTTTTCCTAGTTTTGTAATTCACATAAAATAGGGATGGTTTACTTTCATTGGAATGGGGGATTTAACTCTCTGTTATCTTTTCCTCCTATTATCCTAGAAAAAAAGTATATAGAGAAGCAGCTCTTTGCTTTTGACAGATCTTTTCCAACTTTTTAAGCATAACTTGTTAGGGTTACTTTTTAACTTTCTTATTTTGTAATATGCAGAAGGAATTTGTAACTAAATAGTAAATTATAGCAGTCTTACAAACCTGAAAGTACTATTTCATGAATATCTGGGGTTTGTTTTCAGGTTCTTCCCAATGTCCCCAAAGGCTCGTAACTCTGGCTCTTCAATTTTTTTGTGTTGCTTTTTGTTTTCTTCCCCTTTATGCCATAAAAGACTTTATTTGCATCAGAACTTCAGGCTCCACAGGAAACATTCAGAACTGCCAAATGCCTAATGAAAAAAATCTGCAAGGCTTCATGGCTGTACAGTACAATAGGAGCTTTCTCTACCTTTATATTTGTTCTGTTTCCTTTCTCCGTCAACCCCTGCTCCCTGACCTTTTGTAGTCTCTCAAAATCAGTCTAGTATCTTGTGTTACTCTAGCACGTAACTAGCATTATCCACTTAACAGTGAATTGGTTATTCTTCCTCAGCCATTCTGGATGTGTACAGGTTTTTGTTAATCTTCACGTGCTAATGCCATCATGCTTTCTGACTCCTGTTTAAATTTTGTGCTTATCTTTTTTCTCTGTGTTGGCTTTCTTGCTTGTAATTGTGTGGATTGTGGTGGGGAGCATAACACAACTCAGATATGCTATTGACGCTGCTGCTAATGCCACAGGCTGTTCTGATGTAGAAGAGCTAGTGGGATAGATGCTTTAGTTCTGCTCTGCAATGTGATGGTGATTCATTTCCATCGCCCAGACTGCGTAAGCTCAAAGAGCATACTGAAAGTTTGGTACAGCTCTTACTCTACTCTTCCAACTCAGTTTTTTTGTAACTGTGTTATTTTAGAAACTTCTCTTTCTTCAAAGCATCAGGATGTTTTTACTTGACAGAATTTGTATTTTGGTACCTCCTTGTCCTGTCTGCGAAACTGGTACAGAATCTTTATGGTTTCATATAATATACATTTCTTTGCCTGTTTTCATTTCTACCTTCCATCTGGAAACTTTTTCTCCCTCAGAAGTGGGAGAAGAAAGAAACGTGTAAGAGCTGCTGATGAAAAAGAAATGCTTGTTGATAGGAGGTATACTGTTTATGACTCTTGTTCTTTTATTTTTCAGTGATTCTGATAGTGGTGTCAGTCTGCACAGCGACTGGTGCCTGGAACTGGTTAATAGACCCAGAAACACAAAAGGTAAAAATCACGCTAATCCCAAATGTAGTGTGTGGCAGTCAAGTGGTATAGTATAGAAAACTGAAAGGCTACAGGTGGTTCTCCCATGAAACTGGGAGATAATTTTCAGTTAAGCTCTCAAGCTCTCTAGAATTGTTGTGGAATATGTCCTAGGACAATAATGCCTACCAGTGTCTGCATCTTGAAAGCTTACCTGAAGAACAGTTCACAAGTACTCATAAATGGCTAGGAGCAGTAGTTTGTCTTTTTTTTTTTTTTTTTTTTTTTTTTTTTTTTTCATTAAATCGTTGGGAAGTTTTTTTTTTTTTTTTTTTTTTTTTTTTTTTTTTTTTTTTTTTTTTTTTTTTTTTTAAATTAAGTGAACTTGTCGGAAACTTTATGTTTTAGAAAGTATGCAGTGGGACTAATTTGATTTCTTTCCTAGGTGTCATTTTTCACATCACTTTGGAATCACCCATTTTTCACAATTAGTTGTATTACCCTAATAGGCTTATTCTTTGCTGGAATACATAAAAGAGTGGTGGCACCATCAATGTATCCTTCAATTGCGTTTGTCAGATTAAAGGTGTTGCAGTTACTGCTGTTACTGAAGCCTATGCTAATACTGCTTTTTTTGGTTTTTACTTGCTCTGTGTACCAGAGTTAACTGCTTTCCTTGACACAATCCACACAGTATAGCAGCCCGATGTCGAACTGTTTTGGCAGAATATAACATGTCCTGTGATGATGTAAGTATTAGTTATTGCCTAAACCTTGTTTTTAAAAAAATGCAAATAATTGGAAAAGGCACACAGGGTTTTTTTCTGAACAGCACTTGCCACAAAGGCATGTAGTGACAGGACAAGGGAAAACGGCTTTAAGATGAACGAGGGCAGATTTAGATTAGGTATTAGGAAGAAATCCTTTACTATGAGGGTGAAGAGGCCCTGGCACAGGTTGCCCAGAGAGGCTGTGGCTGCCCCATCCCTGGCAGTGTTCGAGGCCAGCTTGGATGGGGCTTGGAGCAACCTGGTTTAGTAGAAGGTGTCCCTGCCCATGGCAGCGGGTTGGAACTGCATCAGCTTTGAGGTCCTTTCCAGGCCGAACCATTCTGTGATTCTGTGAATACAGCTTAACAAATTCTGTGTGTGTGTCTGTAAAACTGGAATGTAGAATACTTAGTATCGTTCTGTGTGTCATTCTGAACTTAGCCTGTGAAATTGAACTTGTGCTCAATTTTCAGGGTCTACACTTAACTTTCTTTTTTCTGTCTTTTGCAGACTGGAAAACTAATTTTGAAACCTAGGCCTCATGTTCAATAAGGGCTGTTTTCCTTCAGTTTTTTCCACTGCCATGGAAACCAAAAATGACTTTTTTAAGGTAGTGTGACAGCAAAAACCAAACAGGACTGGTTGCCGCTGCCTGGGAGTGAAAGTCTTACACAGTTAACAGTGAAAGTGTGCAATATTACTTCTTGAATACTCATCCAAATTCTTTGTTATCATATTATCAGTGCTTTTGCTACTTCTGATTACCTCTTTTTCAGTATTAGTGTCACTTTTTTACTTCAGCTAGAGGAGAACATACAGGCGAAGTATGTTAATCGGCTATGAAGTTGAACTTGAAAATCAAACCTCGTATGTGTCTTTGTAAGCTATTGTAAATAGCAGGTGGATGCCAGTGTTCAGGAAAAGGAAGTAGTATGTGCTGTATGGATTTCTTTTTGTTCTCATGAACAGTATTGATAGGAACACTTACCATTCCCATGATGTTATTAGCACACTTACTCGTTACAGCTGTCCTTGTCTCCTGGTCATTCTTTTTGGAACCGGTTAAAGGCTTGCGGAAAGACTGTCTGTCCTGGAGAAAACTGGTCTCGCTATTTAAGAACTGCAGCTGCATCAAGGATCACGTTTGTCAGTCTGTATGTGTAGTGCACCAGCCACTTCTGTTGTGGTCATACGTAGTTCATGGTGTGATCTGGTTCACGACACCGCTCTTTTTAGATTTTAGTATTTTAAAAATTGATTGAAATATGCTTGTATCTTCCTGACTAAGGTTGTACTGTATCTGAAGTCCATGTGACCATTCTGAGGGGATTTTTATGCGATGATAGTCCAAATATTAAACTAGTATTGAAAAATGTGTAACTTCAGATTTGATGAAGAAAATAGAGTGCCACAATAAAATAACAGATTTTATTGTAGAGTGTTAAAAATGAGATGTGGATGTCATGTGCATAAAGTGTAACTTTTGAATGGCAAAATTCTAAAAAGAGTTTTGAGTTGTTCAAGGTGCCTTTTTAATTGTTTCAAACTCTTTTAATTGACTAAAACTGCAAAGCTTTTGCAACTTCAGTAACTCCTACTACAAGCTAGACAGGCTTTTAAAGGCAGCCTATGGATGTAACCATGTCAGTTAAGACATGCAGAATTGTCTGCTATACTTTTTCTCTTCTGCCCATCCATTATTTTTAACTGCTGTATATTTTGTAGGTCAATGTGTATAAAATAAATTCTTTGTATAAACAGCTGTTATCTTTTGAACTGTGCAAATACAGTTTTCAAAGGAATGCAGAAGAGCTTCAGGAGTTTATAGCTAAAGTCTGTAGCTTTCGTACTGGACCAAGATTTCCTGTATTTAATGTATGATACGCAGTGTACAATACTGACAGCAGAGAGGAAGTCCTTCCAGTTTTCCACCCTGCAAGTCAATCCTGCCTTTCTAAGTCCTGTTAGTGGAAATGACTTACTCAACATTGACGTTGTTTACAGTTTTTGACCTGAGGAAGCGTAAGGAGTAGACATCGTGGCCCCGAAGGCAGATGAGGATGCTCTTAGTGCCGGGGTTACAGAGCCCTGTGGTTACAGACCAGCTGCGGCGCTGGCTCGGGTGGTGGCCGAGGCGCACGCCCGGGGTGTAGCTGCCCCACGGCCCCATCTGTAACCGG